ATTCCATTTGTACAGAAATGGATGATTGAAGAGTCTGACAACCTCTCACATGCGTGCAAGCCCCGCGTGATTTAAAAATTCCAAAAAAAGTGGGCCCCCTATTGTGAGTGTTCGGTCATCCATTTCTGCCAACCATTTTCTGTACAAATAACATGGTTGAATCCGGAGACTACGTTTTTACATGTGCACAATTGAACCGGTTATTCACCTGAATGTGATAAATATGTTGCTTCTTTCATATATATATCTACACACATTATTAATTTTATTCAATGTACATGCAGAATTCATGTTTTTGTTGTTTTTAGCAAAGACATCCACACCGAATTTTTTGGCTCCACCAAACACTACAAGAAAAATGGGCTTTTGCAACATATAAAAGGCAACATTCATTCATTCAATGTTGTTAAATGGGTCTATTGCAATGTTTGGACGAGTGAATGTTGCCAAAGGGGCCTATGCCAACGTTTTTTAAAATGAATGTTGCAAAAAGTGATTTTTCGCAACGTTTATTGAACATTGCGAAAAGTCTCACTTTTAGCAATGTTTAAAAAACGTTGCGAAAAATAACTTATTGCAACGTTTTTTAAACGTTGCAAAAAGTGGCATTTCGCAACATTTTATAAACGTTGCTAAATGTTAACTTTTCGCAACGTTTATTAAACGTTGCGAAAAGAGAAGCCCATTATTTAGCCCAATTAACGTTAGCCCTAATATCGTCACCGCCTCTCTTCTCTCTCTCTTTCATTCAAATCCACCATTTTCTTCCGACCATTTTCTCCTGCTAAATCCCCATATATAAGCATCTCCAACCGACTGACTCTGCATGTTACGCTATCACTCGTCATCTGCCATGCGCTTGAGTGGCCATCTCTCACCGCCCAGGTTTTCCTCTATTCTCCAACCATGTATATATCATCAAAAAGACGAGAGTATGAGGAATGAGGGAGGATAAGCCTAACCTCCAGAAAGCAACAGAGCACCAATTGAAATAAAAGCGGTAAAAAAAAAAGAGTAAATGAGAAGTACTACACCCTATACAAGGAAAGCAAATGAGTCTTAAAACTACAAAGCAATCCATATCTATCAATACATATAGACTGAATGTTTTACAAGCCTTATTATACGTATTTACACCACCTTGGATAACATTTTAGAAGACAAATGTTAATATGAAAACTTCTCAATATTTATATATTGCATGTTTGTGTACATAATATGCTTGTAATATCAGAACATTGATAATCCTGAAATGCGCCTTTCAGTTTTTTCTTTAGAAAAAAATTTACCATGCATGCAAAATCAAGTCGATTTTGTGAGAATCTATGTGGATAGTGTTCAGGGACTGAACTTGAGGTTTTCGAGAAGCTTTTACGACCTGCATTGCACGGTTTGAAATTAAAGTGAGAATCTATGTGCAAAATGTACTTGAGATTAAAGAGATTTTTACGGCATGCATTGCACGCCGTAAAAAGTACATTTTATTGTAGTGACTATTTTTTAAATGAACGAAGAACGGGCATATTTTTCAATCTTAGGCTTTAGAATCAATGAAGGGACTAATTTCATCTTTTTTTTCACATAAAAAAATATATTTTTCACTGTAATTCCCAATTTATTTTATTTCTCAAAGTTCTGTTTTACACATTCTGTAATAATTGTTTTATTCTTTTTATAACAATTTAATAATTGTAACTCAGAGTCATTATTGTTAGCACTTTGTGTTGCATTTTGTTAAATTGTTACACGGAGTGTAACAGTAGTAACGGTAAGTGTTATATCATAGATCTAATCAATTTTGAACATAAATACTTTTAATATATATATAATTGATGTAACTTTCAGGCAGATCTATTATTTAATTAATATTCAATTAAAATTAAATAATAAAATTCGTATATTCAAATATTAGAAATTTATTAATCATAAGGAGTTGTGATTGTGAGATACAAATTATAATATGACTGAATCTTATGTTATTCGTGGTCGTAAATAATAACGAGATACGGATATCGTTATTACGGATAGACCATCACGCTTGACATTTTTTACTTGTGACACTTAAACGAACACGTGGATGTTTTGTTATAGAACAAAACATTGGAAACTCGTTGGGAGATTCCACATAGATAACTATTTGAGTGTTAGTGGTTAATCTCTAATTTTCGGTAGTGAAATTGGTCATTTGACTTTATCATAGTGCCTTATATGAGGACAACATACTTTGATGATGTTGGATATTGTTCTGCAAAGGGCCGCTAATGCGGTATCTTTCGGGTATGTCAAGAATCATATGAATGTTATAAATGATCAATACATGATTCATCACTCTTAGATAGTAAGAAATTATGATCTACATTTCATTCAATTAAGTTACTAACGAAATCATTGGTCAATGTGTATTCATAAGTCGAAAAAGAGTTTTCACTTATATTGATTTAATAGTGAGATGAAAAATATGATTGATAATTGAAATTGACACAAATTGATCGGATCATGTTGACGAAAGAATTATAATTTCATGGTGAACGAACAAGTTTTATTTTATCATACCACGTGACACATTGCTAAATGTCAATATGGGACGACAAATGTGAATTGGTGATAAATTAAAAGAGATATTTTAATTTATCGATTTTGATTAGATCAAAATAATAATTCATGTCGTTGGATATCAAGTTCGGGAATCGATGAGTCACACACAAAAGGATAATCAAAAGAATTAGATTCATCAATTAATTAATTAACAAGTGTTGTACAGTTAATTAATTAGATTGCTTGTTAATAGACCCGAATTAATTAATTAGATTAATTAATTCATGGACCAAATTTAATTAATTAGATTAATTAAATATTGGATCGAGATAAGTTTAAGAGACGGAGAAAGCTCATTTCGACTTATATTAATAAATCATTAGAGTTTCAGAAAAATAGAACAGACAATAATTCATGAATTTGCTAGTACAAGAAAAGAGAAAATCTAATCCTCTCATTCTTGTTTTTTTGTGTGAATTTTCATTGGAAGCTGGACAATTGAATCACTATGGATTGCAGATCGTGATTGTTTATGTTTCAAAATCAGTAAACGAGTTTGCAGAACCTACAAAATGTACAATTTCTATCACAATTTCTTTCTAAACACAAAGAAGATCTTTGATGGGAATTGAAATATATTTTATTTTTCGCTGTACATGTTAAGGTACATTTAGAACCGTAACAAATAGTATTACACATTCATTGCCATCAATTTCCACTGACACCGTTGAAACTTGAAATGTTACCCTCGTAAAATACAAAGGGTAGTACTTATAAGTCACTGATGCCTCACTACAAACCACCACCACCAACACAAGCACCAAAATTATATCAACCCATAAAGAAATAAAGGAAAAAAAAAAAGCATCCAACAAATATGATAAATAAGTTAAGTATGAACAAAATAAAGATGCAATTTAACTAAAGCTTAAAAAGTGCTTATGTGTATTTTTTTTAATTCCATTTTACTCTTTATTTGCCCACCATACCCCTGTAACACGCCACACTCTGTATAAAATTGTCAATGGCAGTCGAACTGCATGATTGACTCCGCTTGGAATCTAGCGAGTGGTCGGCAGGGTGCAATAGGTCGGCGAAAGAGAAATACATGAATTACAGAATGTGATGTTATACACTTTTTTTATTCTTATACAAAGTTTTTTATTAGGGGTAATGCTACATGTACACATACACTTTTACACAATCTTTTACACCTTTCTCACATGGAGGGGAGTCCACGATTATTTTATTATGTGTGGGCCCCCTTCCAGGTGAGAAAGGTGTAAAAGATTGTGTAAAAAATTGTGTACACTTAGCATGATTCATGNTATGGGTAATGCTACATGTACACACACACTTTTACACAATCTTTTACACCTCTCTCACATGAAGGGGGGTCCACGATTATTTTATTATGTGTGGGCCCCCTTCCATGTGAGAGAGGTGTAAAAAATTGTGTAAAAAATTGTGTACACTTAGCATTATTCTTTTATTAGTGTTTTCAAGTAGATTGTTGTTCTCTCTTTCCTTTCCCTTTCCCCCATTTTTCCCTCCTCTTCTTTCCCTGTTCTTGGAAGCTATTGGGTAAACGAAAAGGACCATTCAAATACTCACGACGTGAAAATGCGAGATAGAGGGACAAATAGGAATGGGGAAAGAGAAAAAAAGACTAGAAAGTAAAGCAAAACGACGTCTTTCACTTTACGCTTACTAAAAATAGAGTTTTATTAAAGTTGTATATGTTAACTTTACCTCGTATCTCCACTTTATATCATAGTAAACAACGTGCTAATTTATGCTAGTAAAAAATTGCGTTCTATTAAAGTTAGTATATTTTTTAAAGTGATGTGTGTTCCTATATCATATCTCTATTTTATGTCATATAAACATGTCTGTTTTATGTTCGGTAAGAACAACGTATTATTAATGTGATATGTGACAACTTTATGTCATATAAACATGTCCATTTTATGTTCGATAAGAACAACGTATTATTAATATGATCTGTGCCAATTTTATGTCATATTAACCAAAGTATTCATTTTAGTTCTAATAACTTAGATTAAGATGTGATAAAATGTTAATACTATCTCTTAAGCTACTAACACTAGTCTTCAAAATTGGATAAACTCAACTAATAAAAAAATTGAACATATAAAAGAGATCAATTCAAAGAAGAATACCCCTACTTGCCCACCGCGGCTGGCCCCTCACCCATTTCCTATATTTATACTGCAAAACCCCTCGCGACCGAGGCCATAATATCCGAATCCATTTTCAAAACCTTTCGATATCATACATTTCTGTATTGCTCTTTTCTTGTTTCAATTTCTAGTTTGATATTCAGAGAATTTTTCATATTTTCCTAATTCAAGAATGTGTGGCGGTGCAGTACTTGGCGATTTCATTCCCCGCAATGGTAGTCGCCGTGTCACTTCCGTCGACTTCTGGCCCGTCTCCTCCTCCGGCCAAAATGTCAATACCAGTTCCAAAACATCTCAACCCCACAAAGGTAAGATGTCGAAACCTATGTTTTTTATATGTTCTTTTGGGTATGCTTTTTACGTGTTCTTTTGGGTTTGAATTTGACTGGTACAAACAGATGTTGTGCATGTTGTGAAAGGTGAGGAATGTTTACAGACAGATGGCGAGCATGTTGTGAAAGGCACCAAGGGAAAAAGGCAGAGGAAGAATTTGTACAGGGGAATAAGGCAGCGACCCTGGGGCAAATGGGCAGCTGAGATTCGTGACCCGAGAAAAGGCGTTCGGGTTTGGCTGGGCACTTACAGTACAGCTGAAGAAGCAGCTCGGGCCTATGATAAGGAAGCTCGTAAAATCAGAGGAAAAAAGGCCAAAGTTAATTTCCCCAACGAGGACGATGATTATAGTCACAACAAATTCAATCCCAAACCTCACAATAATGAACTGCATAGCGGGAGTTGTTGTGATTTTAATCGAGTGGAATCATATAATAATAGGTTTTATTCAAGGATGAAGACTGGCCCTGTTGTGGTGTATCCCAGTAAGGAAGTTTCCGTATCCAGGCACGGGTTGAATTCGGGCTTGGAGAATGGTTATCCGTGTTGTGACCTGAAATTGAAGGAGGAGATGAGTGGAAATAGTAGTGGTGGAAAAGAGACGGTAATTAAGGTGGCTGAAGAGGCGGTGGCGGTGGCGGAGAATGAAGTGCAGAAGCTGAGCGAGGAGCTAATGGCCTATGAGAACTACATGAAGTTCTATCAGATTCCGTATCTCGACGGGCAGTCTGGAGCGGCACCGCCTAATTCGGCACAGGAGTCGGTAGTGGGCGGTGGAGCTTTGAATCTGTGGAGCTTTGATGACGTAACTCCTATCTGAGTCTGACCTCAGCAATATTTTTCACCTTCTGTTATGATGCCATTAGTAAATTAGCCTGGTTTGAGTGACGTTGATTGGTAGTAGATTTATTCAATAAAGTGAAATTACATTTTTCCCCTACAAAATTTTGTAAGCATCTTCAGGAATAAATAAATAGTAGATTCTTTTGATATAAGTTTTGAGTTTCATTTAAATTTTAATTACAGAGAGCATTGAACAATTTGAATCCTCGATTTTGTCCAAAATTGATGCTTTTTACAAAAAATAAATAAATAAATAAATAAAGGCATGAAACTCAGAGTCAGAGTCAGAGGCGAATTTAGAAGATTCCAAAGAGGCGGTGAAAAGGCAAATGCGCGTTTTTGTAAATTGGCAAAAACAATTCAATTGGCGCTGCTGGTTTTAAGCGGCAACGACTTGGGCAGGAAGAAGGCAGTACAATGTATCTAATTCGTACGAGTGTACTATATACACAAAAAATAACACCCCATTTCACGTGCAATATATATAGTCCAAGTCGACCCATGTGAAAATTTTTATTTTCATTCTTCTACTCATTATTAATCATACATTCTTAAATAAAATAATATTTTATATCACATCAACAATTTTTTCTTCTTTTTCGACTCCTATTTGAGACACATTAAAGGCATGTTCGGTAGAGATTAAAATTGGATTAAAATTGAAAAATTAGCCGTTATTGTTGACTTTTATTAGACGAGTGAGACCTAATAACGGTCATATTTTCAATTAAAATTGGATTTTAATCCTGGGCAAACATGCTCTAAAATTTTTATTATCATTCTTTTGCTAATTTTCGACTACACATTCTTCAATAAAATAATATTTTCGATCACATCAATAATTTTTCCTTCTTTTTCAACCACACATTCTCCATCAATCAACTATTCCAAAATATATTCTTCCAAAATAATGTGGCTCAAACACACATTTTCCATCAATCTACTTTTCCAAAATATATTCTTTCAAAATAATGTGGCTCAAACACACCCCAAATTAAAAATGAGAAGTTTCATACTCGTAGGACAAAATTTCGAGCATAAAGTGCGTTGACGATAATAAAAAGAATAAAATATATATATAGATTTTTAAAGTGAAAAAGAATATTGCGAGTGAAGAGTCGAATCCTGAAGACTGAAAAAAAAATAATAATAAGTCTAGGACTGCTCGAGCAGGCCAAATTATGGGATATGGCCTTGCTCTATAGGTTGAACAAACAACATAATTCTATTAGCCCCTGTTTGACCCATATTATTTTTATATTCTCATTCTTCTACTCTGTTTCAACCACACATTTTTCAATAAAATAATATTTTTCATCACATTAATAACTTTTCTTTCATTTTCAACCACATATTCCATATCATATCACTTCAAAAAAATGCATTCTCTAATTTTAATGTGCACCAAACAGGCCCTTAGTAGGGGAATTTTTAGGATTCAATTGGGGACAATTCTTTGAGAGAAAACACGTGGCAACTACGTCAACCGTGATTCTCAACAATTCGAGAATAAGAAAGCGTGTAATTCGCGACTTTAAGCTTGTCTTCGCCTTCATAGAATCCAGTGATGCGTTCTCTTCCAAGTTCCAGTATGCGTTGGTTTTTTTTATGTATTCACAGCTTAATTTCTACAAGAAGTTCATGCTAGAATAGTTTATGAAAATTGAAAGCCAATGCAATTCATGTTAAAATGGAAAAACACAAGTGGATAGAATACTTAATACCTTTGTAAGCTCGAAGTTTGTTTTATATTTAATTTATACTAAACTAATTTAGGCCCTGTTTGGGAGAGATTCTCAAAATTTTACAGTAAATTAATTCTCATTTTCAACCACACATTTTTCAATAAAATAATATTTTCCATCATATCAATAATTTTTTCTTCTTTTTCAACCACACATTTTGTTGGAAT